CATCTTTATTAGCATAAAAGATTATATTTCATTGTTTTATTCGAATATAAAATCATAACTTCTTCTTTTTTTCTTCTCTAATAAATTAGTGATATTCAATACATTCATCTTAAGATTATTAGACTTTTCAACAGTCTTCCTACGAGACTATTAATTTATATAATGACGAAAACATCGAACTCTTATACATATAATGATAAAGTCTTGGATTTTTCAAAGGATTTGGGAACAGTATCAAACTGAATAAATTTTTTATCTAAAAAAATTAATTGTTGAATATTTTACATATATTTCTGATTCTCAGATTAGAAATTTTAGTTAGAAAAAAGTTCAGTGGTTTAACATTTCATTATCGCTCTATTAACTACTTAGTATCAACTACATTGCATCATGAACCTTTATAATATATCTGGTCTTTTGTACCGTGGTAAAATATGTGTTGCTTACATTCTGACTCTTTTTTTCATTAACTTAAAGATTAATTCATTTCAGAATAGTAGAAAATACATAATAATTGCAGAATATGCCATTTTCTTAGGATATGGTCACCTAAATATAACGAATGTTTTGTGTAACGTTGAGGCGAGAGCGAAAGAAAGCGAGTTGTATGGAGTATTAGAATATAACGTAAAATTTTACAAATTCTGGCAAGACGATAATGTATAAAAATATTAATATAGATTAGTTATTTTTAAACTTGCAATCAAATTACAAAACAGAGCATCACTCTCGATTATAACATTGCTACCAAATTACATTATTTAGAAAAAAATCTCGTTTACTCTTAAGAATTTCAAAAACATTTAAAAATATTTATATATTTACAATGTAGATAAAATTTTAAATATTGCTGCTTCGTAAACAAAATAATAAATGCGTCTGATTGTATCACAATTCCAATGCAATAATATTAAGCGTTTGGATTTTTTGACATTAATTCTAAGTCAGAGTCCATCATATCCTTTACAAGTTCCTGCAATATGTATGGATTATAATGTATGATATTTGAAAACCTCTAGGATGTTATATTTTTGAGAATTACTTGTATTTTTTAGATATACAAAAAATTACCTTAAACGTAACTGTTGGTTTCCATCCGAATTTATTTCTTGCTTTTGATGCATCACCCAAAAGTACATCCTGTTGAACAATAGGAAAAATAAATTATAAGTATAAATTAAAATTACAATATATTATAAAATTTATCTTTCACTTCTCTACATTTCGGATATCTTACCACTTCGGTTGGACGGAAGAATTTCGGATTTATGCGAACTAATACTTGACCGGTTTGTGCGTCTTGTCCCGTCTCATCCACGCCTTCGCCTTGCCATTTAATTGTATGACCTACATATTGGAATGCCACTTCTACAAATTCCCTCACGCTATGTGTTTCTCCCGTCGCTATGACATAATCATCTGGTTGCGTTTGTTGGAGCATCAACCACATTGCCTGCACATTGTACATGACAGATTATGTCAAGAAATTTGAACTATTTAATTAATCTATTAAAGAGTTATAATGTAATAATCATGAAATGTTATTTACTTCTACATAATCTTTCGCATGGCCCCAATCACGCTTTGCATCTAAATTTCCTAATTCGAGTACATCTTGTAGACCTAAATGTATTTTCGCTATAGATCTTGTCACCTTTCTTGTGACAAAATTCTCTCCTCTTCGCGGGCTTTCGTGATTAAACAATATGCCATTGCATGCAAACATATTATATGCTTCTCTGTAATTTACGACTATCCAGAAGCTATATAATTTTGCACAAGCTAAAATGAGAAAAAATATATATAAAATTATTTAATGTAAACATAAAAGTTTAATATAAAGATGATTTAATGTAAAAGTATATCTTTTTTCCTCAATTACCATATGGAGAGCGTGGATAAAATGGTGTCTTTTCAGTTTGTGGAACTTCCATTACTTTGCCGTAAAGTTCGGACGTTGATGCATGATAAAATTTTACAGATTTTTCTAAACCGCATGTACGTATCGCGTCCAATATTCTTACTGTTCCTACTGCATCTACTTCTGCAGTATATTCGCTTACTTCAAAACTTACCTATCGCAACACGATATAACATGTCACATAATTTTTAATTTACTATTTAATATAAATACGTATTTGTGTATTGATTAATATGTATATAGGGTGTTCCAGAATGACCGCCAAATATTTTGTGCGCAGGTAGAGCGAATTAAACTGAGTCGAAAAGTCCTCTACCATTTTGCAATTTTCGCAGTAGTCAACGAGACTAAAAATCGCCGAATATTGATTTTCAATAATTTTTTTACTCAAGTACTATTAACTTTACAGAAAAACAGCAAGAGACAAAAATTGTTTATTTTCTTCTTATAGAGTTCTGCGAATTTTTTCAGAATTTTTTAGTACCGCATTTTCTCATGTTGGTAAAAATAGTTGTCAATAAGAAAATGCAGTACTAAAAAGTTGATAAAAAATTCTGAAAAAATTCTTAGAGCTCTATAAGAAGAAAATAAACAATTTTTTGTTTCTTGCCGTTTTTCTGTAAATATGTTGATAGTACTTGAGTAAAAAATTATTGAAAACCAATATATTCAGCGATTTTTAATAATAATTTTTATATATAATTTAATAATAATTTAATATAATTTTAATAATAGAAATTTTTAATATCTTATTAATTATTGCGAAAATTGCAAAATGGTACAGAGGACTTTTCGACTCAGTCTGTTCTACCTGCACACGAAATATTTGGCGATCATTCTGGGATACCTGGGACTGTATAAGTATGTAATCATATACATGTATAAAATACACACCATAACATGACTTTGCGCTGCAAGATTATAAATTTCTGTCGGTTGTATCGCGCTAATGACTTTGATTAAACTACTGGAATCTGTCATGTCACCGTAATGCAGCTTCATTTTGCCTTGTCGATGACATTTTGGATCCTCATAAAGATGCTGAATACGTGCGGTGTTAAATGAACTGGCCCGCCTGATAATGCCATGCACATCATATCCTTTTTCCAGTAAGAATTCTGCCAAGTAAGAGCCATCCTACAATAGCAACAAAATATTGAAGACAGTATAAATCTCTGTTGTCAAAGATAGTTTCATAACAAACATAAGGCAATTAAAATAACATGTCCATAACATTTTTGCCAGTGTAGATTTACTTTAATTTTAGTTTAACTTACTTTTTATCCTCATTTAGTTTTAAGGATTAGAAAAAGACAAAGAGTTAATTAAATTAAGGCTAAAGTTAATCTACATTGATAAAAATCTACATTGATAAAATGATCATTAGAGATTAAATTGATGTTTTCTCCATTAAAATATAATACTACAGGTTCAGTTTGAAAATTATACATTTCGTCGAGTCAACATATTTTATGATAACATTAAGATTAATTGAAATTAAATTTAAAAAATAAAGTGATTACCTGTCCGGTGATACCTGTTATTAGAGCGACACGTCTATCATCGCCAGTTGCCATGTTGAATATGACACAAGTACACGTACTTCAACAAACAAGTGAAGTTTATTGAGGCTAATTGAGAATGTTTTAAATTTAGTGACACAAATCGACACACATATGGCATATCATTCTTTTTATTCAATTAGTAACATTGAACGACACTTGTGTCGACTGGTCACCAAATGGAAAGCACCTAAGTTATCATCTGTGCCACATCCAGAGCCATTAATGCTGATATAATATTTATGAATCATTAAACTACATCAGTGTTATCAACGGAAAAACTAGTGTTTGTTTTTGATATAAATATTTATCTTTTTCTTCTCTTATGACTTCCGTTTTTTCTATTTTCGTTGTTTCTTTACAATTGTCTCTTCCAGTTCCTCCTTATTTTTAAATATAAATATCCTTCACATTGAATTCGCATTTTACACTCTTTGTGAGTCAAGAGAGGAAAGTTAAGAATTAATTATTAATAAATGATTAATACATTATTTCCTCAGTATTAAGTTTTTCTGAAATCTTCTATCATCCTCCAAACACATATCTTAATCCTGTCTGAATTGATGTAACGATACGAATATTTAGAATTCTTTCAGATTTCCCATACAGTTTTATATGGTATTCACCAAGGAAAAGCCCAAGTCCAGAGTCTGGAGACTCTGGAGTGCTCTGGAGTGACTGGAATAGTGGAGTACTAAGAGTCCGGAAAAGAGAATAAAGTAAATGTAGGTAGACGTGGAATCCGTTTACTGGCGCCTCTATGTGCACAAAGCATGCACAGAACTATATAGCCGATATTTTCGATGAGTAACACATCTACGGGAGGTAACATATCCACAAAGGGTAATTCTAATAATAATTAAATATATATATATAATATATAATGTAACTTTATCAAATTTTTGTACATGATATTTATTTAGCTTTACAAATTTTAACATAAAATATTCCATTTTAAAATAAAAAACAATCTAATCCTAATATAATTTAAATTATTATAAATTTTAAATATGTGTGAAAACATTAAAACACATTTCTTTTTCCAAAATATTGTGATTAATTTTTAGATTGATAGCAATTATATATATATATATATGTCAAAGTGTCAACGATAAATTATTTTCTATTTTGTATAAACCTATCACGTAACGAATTGTTCCAAATTCCAAATCAGTATGTGATTTTGTAAAGTGATATAATTTAAAAAATCACGTGATATCAGAAATAATTTCATCTACTATTATGTGATTTTATCGAATTTTAATGAATTGAATGATAGAAATAAAACATAAATAAAGAAAAAAAACATATCATGTGACTTATTTATTTTATTTTACTTATTAAAATAACTGATCGTTGACACTTTGACTTATATATAATTGCTATCAATCTAAAAATTAATCAGAATATTTTGGAAAAAGAAACGCGTTTTAATGTTTTTATACATATATTTAAAATTTATAATGAGAGAGAGAGAGAGATTTAAATTATATTAGGATTAGATTACGTGTGATTTACATGTTTTAATTAAATGGTTTCATCAAATTTTTTGGCACCTCTGAACTCTGAAGAAAATACTCGTGAAAACTTCAAAAGTATTAACAAAATCTCTTCGTTGCGCTTTTCACTTTTTCAGCAAATACAGATCTAACTGCTATATAATATACATAAATTTACATCTATGTTATATAGTAGTTTGTATTCATAGTTTGCTGGATTAGCGCGAGTGAAAGAAATTACATAGAACGTATATTAGTTCCCAACTTCCGATTATAATGTTGCATATAATATTTTTTATGCTAAAATAAAAAAAAAACATTTCACAATAAATGGAACTAGTTATAATTCGTGAATACACGTATAATGTAAGAATGGAAAATTTGATTTCTGGTTCCAAAACGAATCTTCTTATTTAACATAGTTGCTCGATGCCAAGCTATTTTATTGATATCATATTATAGAAGCTATTTCGATAGTAAGTATATAAAACTATATTTGCGACTCTCGCGTGGACTTCCGTAGGATGTTGTCGATGCTGAACATCGTCATTTTGGTGATACGTCCTGGAGAATCTATACTTTCGATTTCGGTATCCTTCGTCATAACGTTTTCTTCATTTGTTTCAATGATTTCTTGTTGTTCCTCTTGATGTTTCATCGAATTGGATAAGAATTCAGTTGATATCTGCAATCATATCAGAAACGCGTTTCAGAAGTGTTATCAGAAATGCTCCATTTGTAAAGTTGTAGGTATCCTAGCCCGAATATCTATATATTATATAGACACGATTCATCTCGGGAGACTAACTTCAGATGTTGAGAGACACGAAGGAAGACCATCGTGTCTCAAAGAGTCAAGAAGTAATATTACGCAGGACCCTCTCTTACACAAGGCTAAAGCTTAATTCTCTGTACCGATAATCCTTCCAGTCTTCCATCATGAGCGAGTATCCTCTGTCGTCTCGTTCTCCTGCGCCTGTAATTGCCGTGTTCAAACATTTCGCTGGCGGACTGGTCCAGGGTCCAGTAACTTCCCTTTCCGGCTGTATGACCCTCGCCGTCGTCTGTGCTCGTCCGGTCTCGCGGTACCTTCACGAAGCAGTCATTCAGGCTGAGGTTGTGCCGTATACTGTTCTGCCAGCCCTGCCGGTTCTCCCTGTAGTAGGGGAATCTGTCCATGATGAACTTGTAGATCCCGGCGAGCGTCAGCCGTCGCTTCGGCGACGAGTTGATCGCCATCGCGATCAGGGCGATGTAGGAGTACGGTGGCTTTTCATGATGCGGCGCAATCTTATAGCCGATCGGCGGTCTCGCCAGGACTGGCCAGGATGTCAACGACGCTTGATTGAAGGCCGGCCAGGCGAAAGAGTCGGCACGCAGCACTTCCGGGACCAGGCTAGCGAATCCGTACGCACGTTTTACGGGGAACATTTTGTCAATTGGAAAGATGTACCAGTATTCTCGAGCACGCAGATCACAGGCTTGATCCTTCGCATCCGCGAAGAGACCATGAACCTGAGGACAACTGCTCTGTTGCATCGAGAATACTTTCTCAAAGGTCTAAAATGAAAAACGCGTCGTTTGCAAGTCGTCAAAGTGTCAGGAGACTTTCAATATCACTCTCTGTGCTTCTGCGTTATCCTTTCTTTTTCTCGGACAATGGAAACGGTTCCGTCGGGATGTTCTGTCGCGACGCATCTAACGAGCCGTGAAATTGAAATTACATCACGTTCTTACCGTCTTTTCCTTTCTCGCGATGGAAACTGAAAAGCACCGTTGAATTTCACTGTGTATTCTCGCGGAAGGAATGGAGTCGCAGATGTATAAATGTCGCACTGGTGTAATCGAGGGAGAGGACGCGGAGCACCCTGTCGATCAGGGCGCGGACTCGCCGGAGACTCCGTTGTATTCAGTTGCCCTAACGAAGGAGATTTGTTTAATTTGACACTGGGAGAATCTAGAGGTTGGCTCAACCCCGCCCATCGGTGGTTTTCCAGGGAACTCCCGTTTACGCTCTTGTGGGGAGGAGATTACCTATCCAGGACCGCACTACGTGTTTTATTGCTGTTTACACACATGCTGTTTCAACACCCACGCCGGCAGTAACTGTGCCAATACATAAACAGTGTTGCGATAATTATATCGAGGCCAAACGGTTTCTCGGAACGGTCTTTTCCTCCTAGTTGGTCCTTCCTTACAATCGATGCAAAGGCTCGCACAGAGTTGTTAAAAAAAAAAAAAGAAAAGAGAGCAGAAGTCAGATCGAAAGTTGCTTTTAACTTTCTCACAAGACCGATTTTTCGATCCATGTCAATTAAACATCATTTAGTAACGTCTGCATTACTCTCTGCTTTGGATCTCCTTCTTTTAATTTAACAAGCTATCTACAGTGATAAGTTAATTGTATATGTAAATCAGGCAAAAATGAATGACTATATTGAAATGCAAAACTCGTATAATATAGATTATAGTAGGGATGCACCGGATGGTAAAATTACCGGATACCGGATATCGGATATCAGACAGAATGCAACATTGGATATCCAAGAAGGCAATTTTTTCGAGTCGGATATCCGACCGGATTTCGGAAAACTGTCTTCTAAAAAAAAAGCAGAAGAAGGGCTGTAGAGAAAAAATTGTAATTTTGCAACAATAAGATATTAATATGGCGTTTATGAATATGCATACTCATTTCTAAAACATTTATATAATAATAAATCAACAATTTAATGATGTAAAATTTCAACCGGATATATTCCCGGATACTAATGATATTCGGCTATCCGGTCGAATAGTAAAAAAGTGCACCGAATAATACCGGATACCGGATACTATCCGGTGCATCCCTAGATTATAGACTGTACAAATATATACTTAATTTAACTTTTGATTATGTATAATGTGATCGGAATCGTTTCTGAATGAATGGATAAACACATGTGTTGATTATTAACTTTTTCTCTTTCTTAAAAATTTTATCAATTTATCAGTTTATCAATTTCCTCACGTCTATATTTCACAAGACACGATTACACGTCGTAGAATTCATTTTCTTATTTCGTTTCGTTTTAATTGTATGACCATGTTATCTAGTTGTATTCTAATGAATGTTTTACGATATTGAGAAGGATCCGATGTTTAGAATCAAAACGTCTATTAATGTATTGTATTGAATAAATTTATTACACGCGTACATCCTGTGTTCGGCTCTCATAGGCATTATCACTCTTTGATTAAAAAATTTTATTGAAAGGACTGAATACAATTATATCAATTACATTCATTTAAGTATAAAATGAAAACATCAGATCAGATTTCTCTTTTCTTCACGTGTATGCATTGCTCGTCAAATCCTGTAGTATTTTCTCCTGAGCTACCGGGTTGTCCTTCGGTACCTGTGCACACACGTTAATATTTTTAAATAGATATCATTCAAACATATTATATTTAAGTAAAATATACATATATGAGTATTGCCAAAAATTATTAATCGATAAATATAATTTAAAATAATTTAAAAAAATATTAATAATATTCGTTAACAACATTTCGGTTTGGATTGTGAGTATTTTAATCGTATTACTTTAATTATAATAATGTTACATTCATAACACCAAAAACACCTGCAACCAAAATCTTCTTTACATAAGTTACGGAAGCAATCAAATCAGACAGTGAAACATTATCTTACATTCGAATTGGCGGATGTAAGATAAACACTGCGTATGGATTTAGGATTCTCCTCGTAGCAAATTAATCTCAGGGCTATCGCTTGCGGCTTACAATAAATATGAAAGCTAAGGGGGAAGAGAGAAAGTGCCTTGTATGTGCGTACCATATGTCCGGCTCTGTTGACCCAATACATCCTAAGGTTATCTTTAACCTTGAAATAGCCCTCAATGATGGATTTAACGACTAGCGAGTTCCTTTTTGAATTTTTCCAGGTGTCAGCGTTTTTCCATTTCAGTTTTTCGACCCAGTGAAGAGTGCCTAAAATATACCGGGTGATCAAAATAAACCGTTACAAATTTCAAATCTTTTTCCTAGTGTAATAACAACTTACCTGGTGTATCGACAATCAAATCCATGTGTCCATTGTACACAAATACGTTCAAGTCGGTTTCATTAAGTAACGTTTCCACTAAAATAATTACATTTACATTTATATTAGTAAATTATACAATAGAATATATTATAAATTCTAATTATGCGGAGTAATAATTTTTTAAGTCATAAATTTGATTTAAAGCGAATGTATTAGAATACATCAGTGACAGTCAATTTATGCAAGATATAAATATTGTTTTATTTTACATGTTTATCCAAACTGCTTCAACAATTACTTTTATGCTTACGAGTTGCCCAACTTTTACATTCGCTATGTTTGGAAATAACTATCTCCATCAATCAACATCAATTTCTTCCTTTCGCTTTCGCTACAATAACATTCTATCAATATATTTGACAGATACCTATGTGAGTAACAGGTTTCATAAAATCTTCTGCTAAGTACTCAAAAACGTCAGAGGATTGACTGCCGTGAACGAATTCTATATCAAGCGCTTTCTTTACTGGACCGTTCATCAATTGTTCGAGTGAGTAAGCCTCATCTGTATTGAGATTTAGATACATCATGACTGCAATTACAAAGAAAAAAATGCACAGTGACACATAATAATAATGGCATTTTGATAAAAGGAATCTTGTAACATGTTGAGTGTTTTTTACGTTAATATTAAAAATGGAATCAAAATTTCGTTATTTTGTAATGTAATTTTATAAAATAATGTAATGATATATTATTTATATACCAGATTTGTAAAGTAAGGAAAAATTTTGATAATCGTAAAACCATAACGGAGGCTGCTTTGCAAGAATATTGTAAAAGTCAATATTGTCAGTCTTCTTTAAAACGATCATTTCTGTATTAGCCCATTCTTTAGTCGCACTTCTCCAATTGCCAAGCTCGACATTGTTTTTTACTTTTTGTGCTGCAGCATCAATTTCTTTGAAACCTTCTGTGTCCACCATACCCTGCGAATCATTCGATAGTTTTCGGAAAGTTTTATGAATTTACTTTAAATAAATAAAACAGGAAATTTTTCGTGTAGTCGATTAGCATCAATAAAGAAGAACGACGAGGAAAGAAGGAACATAATCAGATCTCAAGATCCAATAATATCAATTATTGGATCTTGAGATCTGATTATGTTAATTGTGTATTAATTCCATTTTCTCGACGATATTATTTATCGCGATAGCTTTTTTCATTTAATTGTTGTCAAATAGATCTATTTCATTGATAAATAAATTATTAGCTCATACGGACATTACAATGACGATAAATAATCTTACTTACTGTGTTGAGCAAAAATGGTGCCCATGTCATTACGGAGTCGATAGGAGAGATCCAAGAGTCTCCGAGTGCGATTCCTTTTAGATTACTCTTGATGGTACCAGCTTTCTGAGCCTGCATAACACTCATACTACATGTGAATTTCACAATCTTTTACAAGAAACATAAGTTATTTCATCATATTCAGTAAATTGTTACGATGTCATTATCGTTACTATCATTTGTGTAGACATCATCTATAATTTTCTAAATTATTAAATGACTATGTATAAATATTATGGCTTTACATGTTACGGAATGTTTTTCTTATCATCATTAATTTAAACTTTTCATATAATTTTTGATGATCTGATAATGCATCGTAGAAAAAAAACTGCAATCCGTTTTATAATTAACAAGAATTTCTTTCTGTCACATTTTTTTCAAATTTTAATATCGCTATTTCTTTTAATGGAATCAAATTTTTTCTTTTTATTATTTTTTTTTAATTAGCATATTTGTATTTCTTACTCGATACCAGAGTAACGCAAACTCCACGCCCATTTTTCCGCCATACGATTCAGTTGTGATATACGTCGGAACAGCTTCGAATTTCGGTAATTCTTTATAGAATCCTTGCATACATTCCACGAGGTCCTTTGCGATCTGCGTGTTTGTCCGCGTGTATGCCGATTTGCTTTTAACGTAACTGTATCCGGTACCAACAGGATTGTCGATGAAGAGAACATTATAATTCTTGACCTATAAATAAATTATATATCGACGATATTATCCACTAAATTATAAATCTATAAATTTCGAGTAAATTATTCGAGTAAATCTATAAATCAATTTTTAAAAAATTATATCTTCGTGCTATTCTTATATCTACATACATCTTTGCTTGTATGTAAAATTGCTTTCTCTTTCCTTCGGTTATACCATCAATAAACTAACATTTTAACAAATTGTTCTCAACAATTAAATATTTATTAATTACACACTATTTGATATTGTGTTCCGACAATCTATTCTACTTTCGCATAATTTAATACCCAAGTATAATTCCTCGGATTCAGGTTCACATCGAAGGGACCCAATTCTTCGAAATTTCCATAACTTGTTGAGGATCCGCCTGGTCCACCTTGCAACCAGATGAGTAACGGTTTGTCGTAATACGAATTAATCTTTGCCGTAGTATAGTAAAGCCACCAGAACATATTCGCGTTGGGGCGCACTTGAACGTAATTCCATTCTTGTTCTCCAGGGCCGAACCCTTTTCTTCCTTTTGTCAGAAAATTTTTAATTATTAATAAAGATAAATAAATAATTGTGTTAACATCTTCTTTTATTCTTCTTCTTTTATAATTTTTTATTTAAAAAAAGATCCAAAAGTTAAGGAGTAATAGTACAATATGTATCGGCAAGTCATCTTTTAAGAAAACGTACATATATAAACTGTAGAGGTAATTTTCTCACATGATTTAAATACATGGTGTAATATTTGCGATATATTAGATTGGAAATCATATTAATTTTCTGCACCGATCTTCACAACGAAGCGTCTCAGCTGTTAACAATGATTCGAAAGTCGGCGACGCAAAGACGAGTAGCTGAAACGGCATATATTTGTCAAGCGAAGATCTAGGTAAATTTGCAAAGTTTTAAAAGAAATCGTAAAGTAAATATTCTCGCGTCACTATGGTAAAAGCTAGAGATGCAACGGTTGAGCACTTTGACGTTTACTTGCACCAAAATTCGGCAAACTCGCAGCGAGTAAAAACATGCATCAACATACAACGAATTTTTAAAATCTACATTCTAGAGTTCAAGGAAGAAGAAAATATTTGATATAAACATATTTCAAAAATACCTTATTCAAAAGATAACAGGGAGTTGGGGAAACATAGTATTATCTATATTATATATTTCAATGAAAAACTACAGTCAGTTTGAAGTATTATAAATCGCTCTTACCAATGCAAACCTAATCTATCACACAATATTAATCAAGCGATTAATTTTTTATCTTTCAAGATCAATAATATTAATCTGAGTTCGAGCGTTTTATGTCTTCACGCACGGTTTAAATGCTATGAAACAAAAGGAATGGAGATAACGATAAGCAAAATCGGTCGAAATGTGCATCTCGGCTGCAAGTCTGGTTTACGTGTTATTATTTCACATTCTTTTGTGTGCTATAGCTTTTAGACATGTTCATAGATAATATATCTTTGTTATTTTTATTCAAGAAATAACTGTTTGTTAAATTTAGGTGTTTAAATTTTTATAAATCTAAAAAATAGACAATTATATAATTCATGTTAAACCAACGAGAATAAATCAATTAAGAGATTAAATTAAGAAATAAATAAATATGGATATATTAATTCGTTCTAAAACTATTTAAGCACTAAAATCCTTTGATCTTTGACCAAAATAAGTTTTTTTTCTCTTGATGATTTAAAAAGGTATATATACACAATTAATGTGTTTCATAAACTCACATATTTTCATCCATTAAAAAAAATAGGATTTTAACTGTTACAAAATCTATTATTGACATCTGCTTGCCATTAATTATATGTTTATACCTTGCTGCATTATCGTGTAATGTGAATGTAACTTTGTGACAAAATTTATTAGACCGATGATTAACTCACACACGTTCCACACAGCACACTTTATCCTAGACATGTCCAATGGAAGTCATTTTAGAATATCGCATTAATTTTATGATATCCGTGGATGGTTTCATATCCAACGGACATCCAGAGATGTACAAGCGTCCACATATGTGAGATCCCACGGACGTCTTAGATGACATCCGTGAGATATCCAAAGAACTCCATGAGATATCACAAGTATATATGCGTGTGTATATATGTGATTGTTATCTAAAATAAAAGGGAAATGTTTTAGGATATCATATTATGGAAGCGAGAAATATGTTATTGTCCCATTATTACATAATGAAATAAAAGATTAATTTGAAATAATATGTCACATCTTGTAATTTATATTCTTAGGCTGCGTTCGGAAACATTACCCGAGTGCCTCTGTATATCGTTCCGTCCTTGTTGTTCACCCAATGTTAAATAAGAATAAGATGATACACGTGGGCATCCGGGTAATGTTTTCGAATACAGCCTTAGTATAACATTTAGTACACTAAATAAAAATCTTTGTAAGCGCTTCATATGAAATATAACTTAATTGACACGTAGTATGTCATGTATCGTTTGCGTCCAAAGTAACTATGACATTCTTTACTTCTAATCTTTTAATTCTGACATTTTCCAATTGCAAACCTTTGTTGTACTTTGGGCATCCTTAGGACATTTCTTGGAGAACTGTGTTGGGTGATGGAGAGATATGAATATGGTAGAATATCTTAAGATATTAATAGGATATCTTGTGATATCTTACGATGTTTTACGATATTTTCTTTGGATATTCTGAATAGGATATCCGTAAGATCGCTTTGCCAATATGGAATATCCTCAGGATAAAGTATGCTGTGCGGGATCTTACCAATGCTGCCGGAAACAAAGCACAACACGGCGAAAGTATAAACAAGTGGAACTCGCATCGTCTTGTTTCGTGCAGTGAAACTTTTCGAAAACTAAAATTGTTGTGAGTAATGTATACGATTTTATAGTCTTTTGTTTATCACGAACCAAGTCAATCACACAATTTATATCAGTTGCATTCCATTGATAAAATAAAATGAGAGTTTCGCTCTTAATGTTTCCTTTCTTCTGGCTTTGTTATCAGTTATCTTTAGTTAATCTTTGGATAAATCAAAAATTCATTATAAGCCGTACGTCTTTCATTGTAAACTTTACTATATTTATCGATTTGTGGCAAATAATGGACTGCGATTAGTTCCTCTATTTACAATACAATATTGAACACTGCACAGCTTTATAGAGAATAGTGATAAGACTGATAAGTGAAAATTTTTATAAATACTATAAAGAATAATTTATTATCATTTATTGATTTTATATTATAATTAAATTATATATTTCTGTAAAAAAATCGTACAGTTAGTTTTTAAACAGAAAGTGTTATACACTGGGGATACATGGTTGGTTGAAAAAAATGTCACAAAGTTAAACATCATTAAGTTGATTTTGTCTTCTATTTTTTTATTATTAAAATACATATAGAAATTTTCTTAAAAAATTTTTCTTATATTTTATAATTTCGTTTTCTATTTATCATGTTTCAAAATGTTCATGAAAGTCTTTAATATATATATATTAAATACGTTCTGCTATTCTCAGTATTGGATGCTATATACTATATATATATTTGATTGCCTTACTTTTGAGTAAAACGCATTCGCTTACAAGTACTCCACTTAAGTGATATCTATAGATATTAAATTGAAAGATTCACACGTATTATATGTACATGCATTAAAGTTGATCCTATCTCTAATAGCGACTAGTACGTAACTCGCTGATTCAGAATCGATAGAAGGATTTAACATTCCTCGTATGGTACATAAGCGCATCGACCACGGGAAATAGTTACGAAGGAGAAAGTAGCGCCGTCATCGTTCAAGCATTTGGTCGTATGCGATGATAAAAAGAAAAAAGAAAAAAAATAAAGAAAGGAAAAAAGAGAAAGATCGAAGAAAAAAACTGTACACATTAAGACGTGCGACGAAATGAGAAAATATGAAGCAAATGAAAAAGAGGAGACACATTCTCTCCTTTCGTGTTTATTAATTTAATTATCCCGTTGCTGTTCACAAAGTCGTCGACCTAAATTGATTTTCCTTGCTCGGGCTTTAATGATACTCGGAAAATTGTGCGTCGAGAGAACGCGTAGGGAAGAGTCATTTCTTCTTGATAATTTCCGGGCAATAAAGCGGTCGCATCGCGCCCACGAAGAAAGCAATAACATAAACTCCTTAGGCGTTACATCACTATAAAGGAAAAAAAAGAAAAAAGAGAGAAAATCCAAGTTGAGGTAATATATTTTTTACAATAAATTATTTAATTTTTAAAGATTCTTATTAGCATAAAATATTAATATTCTTATAAGATGCTTATTAACAAAAAGTTATTAAATCGTTTGTCAATTTAATATGTGGGATTATGACTCTAGTTCTGTTCATTGCTGGAACAAATTTCGGCTCGCGGTTTACAGAATTGAGTAAGTAATGTAATAAATTCATACCGAAATAATTTAAGCATTTTACCCAAAGAAACACATCAAGTCAAGAGAAAATATAAATTTATCAAAAAATCAAAATGACTTTATTTTGACGTTATGAAAGTCAAAATAATAATTTCTAGTTACAAAATCGACTGTTTATTGACATTAAGAATCAAAATAAAGTCATTTTGATTTTTTGTTGACTTTTATGTATTCCTTGGGTAAGGCTGGTTAATAGTTGGTCTTTGTTTTTTGTATTTAAGACTATCTTAAACAAACAGGTCTTAATAAACAATTATATAAATATATAAATATATAAATAAGGACTCTCAATCTTAAACAATAAAATAGAAATTCAGACAAGGTTAATGAGAGTCTAACGCTGATGTAAGAGCGAAGAGTTAGGAGATGCAGATAATACTCAGATATTAATGATTATCTTCATTTATTGTGTCGAACGTTTCGGCTCACTTTGGAGTCATCCTCAGCGAAAAACAGAAATATAAAATCCTCCATTGAGAGAGAGAGAGCAAGTCACTTGCAGATTGACAGAAATGCAGTAATCAATACGCTCAATGGGAAACAAAAACGAAGTTCAGAAACATTGATTCACAATTTTAAAAGTTAAAAAAATAAACTAATACACGTCGTTCCTCTGATTATAGAATCGTATCAGTTCGTCGTTTAAAATTAGGTAAGATATTATGAACCAATTAAAGAGCCGTATTAACATTTTAAAACATTACTTAAGACGATCTTAAGATAAAAACGGACTATGAATGCGGTTTAAGAAAACAGGATCATTTCTCTTAATTAAAAAAAGAAAGAGAGAACGAGAGAAGGGATAGGTGAAATTATCGCACGGAAGCCTAATTAAGTCTTTCATTGCGAGAAATTCTTTTCCGTTCTCGGAGGGACTTTTGCGAAAGAGACGCGATCCATTCGCGCGTTTTCACGAACACACACGCACGCGTCCGCCAAATGTTGCTAATTGACATTCGCCCCACGTGCTTCGCCAAACGCACGCGCTCCTCGCTGGTCTGTACAGTATTCCTGACAGGTTTTTCGGTCTATTACTACTCCGGAAATTATTGGCGAGGCATGAAAAGGCTGCATAGTCTCTCTCGATTCTGTCGAAATCGGGAACGTGCAGATGTAGCATGGACTACGCACCGTGCCTTGCGTAGTCCATCTGTTTATTCAAAACGACCGTTTGCACGGTTTAACATCGTAGTTACGTGGTAACATTATAAGTAAAACACGAATGAAATCTGTACGTCGCGCGCGTACGTAATTTTTTTATTCGATCGCAAGAAGAAAATCTATTCAAACCGATATACCGAGTCAGAAGAGAGCCTCGTGGATCTCTCGGCGCAATGAAACTGGCTCGTTAGTGGCCTAATTAAATATCGACAAGCGGTATCTAAGCAATTAGGCAGATTCATCAACTAGTGGATGTTCCGTACGGCCGAATCCAGGTAATAAAGAGATAATGGAAATAATAGCCGGCGCGGCAGGATGCAGGTATATGAGAGAAAGAGAGGGATAATGAGAAGCTCGATCAATGGCTCGATCAACGATCGTTCATTCCTCCGGAAGAAGCTTGGTCCTCAATGTCGGCAGATCGTTACGGGAAACGCTCATAGCTTCCATCATGCAAATTAATAGCAGATAACGTTAATTAATGCACCGTGTCGTTCCGCTTGTCTCATCAGACGGCTCTGTTTGCAGCTGATGGCCTCGCGCGTCTCATCTCGCGGCGTACCAGAAGGCGCGTTTCGCGAAGATACGTATCCGGCCCAATCTGTACCCGACTTGTAAGAATAAACAAACTATTAAAATTCGCCAGAAATACGTATGCTCGTACAGCGCGGCAGTCTGTTAGGACGTGTCTGTTTTGCGACTTGAGAACGGGGTGGAGTCCTCGCGGCGCGAAAGTCGCAAAGCTGTCTTTTACATACAAATATACATTATGTTAAATATATATTATTATATATACAGGGTGTCACAAAACTGGCAATAAATATTTTTAAGACGGATTCTTTGCAATATTTTAAGACAACAAGTTTTAATGCAAAAATTACGAAATGACGGAGCTAGAATTTCGCTCAGGGATGGTAAGATGAGTGTGAAGGGACTAAATTTTATTATTGTATATTATATATCAAAGGCATATAGTTTGAGGAAGCTGTCATTCGTAATTTTTAAATTCTTCCCATTTGGAAACTGTCATAGCCTTGGCATTTTTATTTTAATCTCGCTACTAAGAACCTGCGTTGCGATGTATGCCCTTTATTTCATATTATTTTTATTTGTATTAGACATTTTGTCGTAAAATGTTACAAAGAAATCTTTAGAATACTTACCGTCAGTTTTGAGACACCCCATATATTATATATATATAAATATATGTAAATTATATATAAAATATATATCTTCCTAGATAGACTTCCTAGATGAAACTAAATATTAGCCATGTCTCACGCATGGGTGAGTACGCGAAATGCACGACGTCGCGAATCGCCGGAAGAGGAAAACTCCTCTTCCTCCATCATTATGATCAGAGAAATGGTCGCAATTAACGCGGTCGTATCTTGTTTTATCGCCTGGAAAATCTTAATGGAAGACAATCGTTAATGCGAAAATATCATTGGGTCACGGTTGGATGACGATAATATCGCCCTTTCGTTTGTACAGCCTGTGTAACTTTGTAACTTTCCTTTTGACATAACGCGATTGCGACTCGTTGGCATCAGAGAGATGTGATACACGAGCGCAATTATGAAGTCACTTCACGATTACCGTCGAGACCTACGTACCCTGAGGAATTGCGGCAATCGGCCGCTGGTCAGGAAAGCCTGAAAGTTTCGATCTAGCCCGAGTTTGCGTGCAATCGACGATCCAATACATGCTGCTACATATATGATATCACGAATAACGCGAAACGTTCGTACGTAACGTCGCGGATGATCGAGTTGTGTAACGTGCCAGCAGAATCGCCCGCAGAAAAACCATTATATTAATGGATTTCGAATGAGGCAAAAGTACCTAAGCTATACTTCCTGGTGGGAGAGTATTTTTTTTTAATTTTTATTATAATAGAATACGACACGGACTTTTCTTCGTTGTCGCGTAAGTAAGGACGCGCGGATTTTAGAATTGATAAATTATACGCGAGTTTAGTACTGATAAATTATATGCGATGACGATGTGTCAATGTCCGCGTAATAATATTTCACGTTTTTACACGTGCAGAAAACGAGCGGAGACTTTGCGAGCAGCGCAGAGGTGAAATCTTTGACGCGAGGAACATCGACCTCTTTGTCGGCGAAAATTCACTTCGCGAAGATGGT